GGTCCATCTCAAATTTAATATAATCTGTTTGGTTTTCTTCTATTTGAACGCCATGGATTCCGGCATCGCCATGGAGTTCGTTGTACATGCTGGATGTCTTTATTTTTTATGGTATTCGTTTGTATACGAATTCAACAATTTTGTATTTATGTATTGTTCATTTGATTTTAGTATGCAAAATTTTACCTTTTTTTAGTATGCAAAATCTTACCATTTAGAAGATGTTTCTCGTACATTACCCTGAATTTCGTATGCATGTCGGTTGAGTGCACGATGCAAATTTCATAACAGTAAGATGCAGCAAATTGTCTTCTACAATGCACATCTCAACTTACTAAAATGCAACATACGATATTCTAAAATGTCACGCCATAATGATAAAAATGCAACATATGAGATACTAAAATGCAGATGCGATAGCGATAAGATGCAATATGAACTTCTAAAGTGCACATATCATCTTACTAAAGTGCAATATATGAACTTCCAAAATGCATATGTCATAATGATAAAATGCAATATATGAATTACTAAAATGGAATGTCAGCATATTTTATCACTATGTAGTTCTAATATAAATTATAGAGACTTTATAAATATAAAATGCATATCTCGTAACCTTAATATGCACATCATGTAACCTCAATGTGCACACTTCTACCTGTGTTGACATCTTACAAACTTAACATGTTAGAAGTTCTAAATTATGCACACGTTATTAATATATAATGCACCTTCCATTGCCCTAATATTTTAGGTTTCAAAAACGAAAGATTAATTAGGAAGTGAATAATTCCTAAAATCAAGTATATAAATGTCCTTTACTTTTTGTGAAAGTTTGAACAATTCTTGAAAAGTGATAAGTGAATAATTCCCAAAATCAAGAATAATTGGATATGCTATTGCAACCTTAATTCGTGATGGCTAAAAACTCAGATGTTAATCTATGCACAAATGGGTGGTTGAAATTTAGTAGTTGCATACAACTCCGTATGTTTCTGTTTTTAAATTTGCTAAACATAAATGGGTGGTTGAACTTTTAATGGTGGGTTACCTGATTTTTTGGGATTTCTTTCCATAAAAGACTATGCGGCTCATTTTAAAAAAATGTTAATTTACTTTGTTGTCCTTGCTTACTAATCATGCATCTCAATTATCCAACCGTTTTTAGTTCCCTGCATTTCACCTCATTGAATGCTACGATGGTTAATAGATGGATAGCCATTGATTTGCCCAATTTCAACGTACAAGATGAGTTTGCATTTTGTACAGGAAGCATGATTTTTATGTGATCACTTCCCTATATATATATATATATATATATATATATATATATATATATATATATATATATATATATATATATATATATATATATATATATATATATATATATTGAGTATAAGTTTGTACACAAAAATATTACTGAAAAACATTACATAGATATTAATGATGTATAAAATGATTGAAACATACTCGAAACTAAGAATATATTTTGTGCACCTTTCACTCGGAACTTTATTTTCCAAATTGAGTAATTTCATAGATAAAAGGTATACATTAATTTTACATACTCAAAATTAAGAATATTATCATTTTTTGCACGTTAACATTTTATTAAATGCACTTTTAATTGATGCATTATATATGCACATTTACTCTATACGGGAATAGTTCAAATAAAAAGACCTCTTCCCATGCAAAGTGCGAAGATATGCATTTTTTCATGTTTCGCTTGCACTTTCTCGTGTTTCTGTTGCACTTTTTCACGGTGGCGAAAAAATGTGGTTTATTTACGAAATTGCCACCGCATTTTGGTCGAACTTAGTGCATTTTGGACTCATTTTGATCCATTAGATGTGGAAATGAATGCACAAGATTCATTCTCACTTTGCATGGGAAGAAGTCTTTGTATTTGAACCATCCCTATGGCCTACTCTATATAACATGGGTTTACGCTATTATATTACATTTGATTGTTTTTATAGAATATATTTACAAATGTTGTAATCTAAATTACAAAGTGTGTGTGTTTTGTTGTATTTCAAAATGCAATGTCATGACACACTTTCTAGAATTGTACATTGAAACTTCCTATTATCCTATACATGAACACAATGAATATAATTCTCTCATGGGAGGTATCTTCTTATGATGTTCCATGTCTATCACTTTAAAGCTTATCCATGTGAACTTGTAAACTTGATGAAGAAGAACTCTTGTCGTTGCTATCTCCAAAATGAATTACAAGTTATTAAGTGTACGGATATGAATATGGAAGTAATAAAGATGTGAAGAATGTGCAAATAATCTGTATTAGTGAATTTATTATAACAAAAGAGTGCAACATACTTCGTATATTATTGTGTTAGTGCAAATTTTGAAAATGTAAAGCATAAATATTATAAAATGACGAGGGGAGTGATAATCTATGATAGTGCATTATTTACTTGACGAAGTGCGTGAAAAGATATATAAAAGTGCACCACTGGGTGACTAAATTAGCAATGTAGCAACACCCAAACAAGAAAAATATCAATCAACAGGCACAAATACAAACGTATAAAAATTGTGTGATCTGAATATCTAATAATAGAATAATACGAACACATAATTTAAAAAACAAATTGTTCATAATTTATGTTAGTGCATTATATTCTTATGAGGGTGAATGCACAGATAAGCAAAAGTGCACTTGGAGGTGACTGAAATAACAACACATCAACACCCAAATCAGAAAAATCTCAATCAACATAAGCACACATACTAATCTATAAAAATTGTGTGATCTGATATAAAAGAATACAAGCACGTAATCTAAAAAGCAAATTGTTCATGATTGGATTCATATGCTTACTAAGAAAATCAATTCAACGATAAAATATGGGTGTAGACTCAAATAGAGATGGTGTAATTAATTATATAGGAAAAATCGAATCAACAAATAAATCACACGAATTGAAATAACTTACGGTCATCCATGGGGTGAATATGATATTTTTCAGAATTTCAGATTGAATGAGATGAATATAAAAGTAGAGTAATCCGTGAAAGTGATATAATAGATTATAGCACATAGGAGAGATGTAAGACGGAGATGAGCAGGGAAAACGAGATGCAGTACGTGGAGAGGCCGTTGATGAAGATGAGAAACAGAGAAGAGGTCATCGATGAAGATGAGAGAGAGAGAATAGAAAAGATCTTGCCGATGAATGTGGGCGTGAAAGATGAGACGGTTTTCAAAAGGAAAGATGCTAAAATGATCTTTGTAGCCTCACACGAATTATTATATTAATTTAAAAGATAACCAAATCCAAGATTCCCGTTCATTCTCATTTTTCTCCTAAGATGGTATTCTCATTTGAACCTATATATATATATATGAGTTTTTTACAAGAATATTACTAAAATAAAACATATTTACATAAATATGATTATTCATTACTACAATGTGGTATTGTGGTAACTTAAGCTCAAAATTTGAACATGAATTACTATGATTTCATTACTACTCTAGTCATTAGTCATATTTTTGTAAATCATCTTTATTTTGGTCATATTTATGTAATTATTTCTATATATATATATATATATATATATATATATATATATATATATATATATATATATATATATATATATATATATATATATATATATATATATATATATAGTGTTTTTCACTAATTTATTTAACTGACTTTCTGATTGAATTTTAAAATGAAATTTAGTGGACATAACTACACACTTCATGAAAAACATGCTTATAAAATTTTAATCAAAAAATCCTCCCGAAAGAACCTCAAATGTAGGCAGCCAGACAGCTATAACAGGATAATTCCTCTATTAACTTAATATATGAAAAATGATGGGAATAATATCAGTCTTTTTAATGAAAAAATAAATATTTTTATGTTCTTTCATACTAAACCATAAAATTAAGATAAGCTTATTAAATTCTTTAAGTTATTTGATATGGTTTTTTAAATGAGGCCTTTTGGAATATGACGTGCAATATTGATTTTTTATGGAAGATTTTAAAAAATAATTTGATATTCTTTTGCATGTTTGGAAGTGGGGTATTGTGAGAGCAAAACAACGTTCTTCAATTAATGAGGTTATATTACAAATAAAATCTTGGACTCATACTATAGTACAAGTGATGCAAGTAAGGCTCGGCAAACACCTGGGTGCAATTGTTTAGAATTTGCCTTAAATAGGAGTAAAAACGCTTTGAAATTCCAAAATAGAAGTATCATATTTTTTATTTCTTGAATAGGAGTAATCTGCCAAGTTTGGAACAAAATGACATGTTTAAAAGCCTATTAATGCCAAACTTGGCAGAAATTTACTCTTATTTAGGGAATTTCAAAACTCTTTTACTCCTATTTAGAGAATTTACTCGCAATTGTTCCAATTATGTGATTTTGAGCATTCTAATTGTTTCACTCGTGAAAATTAGTCAAGTAATCTCATCATCTTCTAGAGCGTGGTTCATGAGTCATGACAAAGCTAAATTAGTCAAGTAAGATGGCAAAGGTAACTCCAACCGCACCGTATCGTTATTATAACTCCTTTGTCAGGAGCAAGGACGCAAAGAAGCCAAATCTGGAAACGTGTCCACCAGTCTATACTCTATACTCTCTACAACTAATACAAGCAGCACAAATTTGGAACAAAAGAGAAACGACTGGCTTGCTATTAACATAGACGATTGTAAGATTAATGACTCAAATACGATTGAATTCATAATGCAGAGGAATCTCTTCATATACGGAGTACTACATATGTTATGACAAAGTTGAAAAGAAAGCTTACTCAAAAAGCTAATTTAAGAGCGAACACATTTCAATAATTCGAAAATTTTGATACAATTAATGAAGTTTTAAAACTACATGGTTCATATATAAACCATGTGTTACATATACTTTCTTAATTATAAAATCCTAATTCCCAAATGCAGCATTTTTCTATTTTAATATATACAGAACAATTTAACGTGTTTACTAGATGTAATCAAATTAAAAGTTTACTAGTAATTGTAAGCTTTAATTTGAGATTTTGACCCCAAGCTTAAATGTCAAATACTCAAATTTAGTTCAAGTGTTTAACTAGTAAAAGAATATGAAGCCAATAAAAAGGAACATATAAGAAGTCTTTAAATCCGCAACAGTTGATCAAACAGCAAAACAAAAATTCCACTAGACAGCATTCAGTCTCTAAAAAGTAAAAACAGAGAAAAACTGGCAAATTCTTGAAAAGATGGCTCAAATGCAAGGATCTCACTTCTTCTTTTCACCACCTCCACCAGCCCTATACATTCAAAAAACAGTATCCAAAATCAAACTAACAGAAATTCAACTAAAGGAGAGGATGAAAAAATAAACAAGGAGCAGGACACCCCTACAAAACAGTGTGGTTCAGGAATAATTAACTTGGAAGAATATAGAAAAGTCAAACAGGGGAAATAGACTGTTATTAGTTTCTTTGCTCTTCTATCATCCACCCCTAGAACAAACCAAGTACCCCTCCCCTTGAGGTTTAGAACTATCTAAGAACTCAATAAATCATATTCATAATGAAATAAGGTTACCTCATTTTACGGAGAACACTGGACATCTCCTCTCTCTTTCGCTTGGCCCTCTTGTGAGTGCCCAACTTTCTCTTGGCTACCTTAAGAGCTCTCTTGTCCTTGCCAACTTTGAGAAGCTCAGTAATCCTCTTCTCATATGGTGCAAACCCAGCAACCTCCCTGATAAGGTTCCTCACGAAATGTACCCTTTTACTTGTTTTCTGTATCACAAAAAGAATGTCAATATAGACAAAGTCATCTTCACAAATATTACGATCACATAATACAGTGGATTTTATGCAAAGATGTAACGTGTTTACAAACTCAAAAACCATGTACACAAGAAATAATTGAATGGGAGGTGCTACAAATATAACCATGAACTATATGTTAGAGAACAGATATACCTCTAACTTTCATTTGGAACAAATAAATACAACAATTAAGAACAAATTTTTTTGTTAGAACACATATACCCTTGTGACTAAAATGGTCAAGGGATGCATATGTTATATTATGTAAAGTGAAGTGTTATATATTGACTCTAATATATAATTCAAAAGCATATTTGTTCCAAATTTGAATATTTCATATTTAATTGTTCACATATGAAGTTCAAGGGTGCAATATGATGCTCTTCCACATAAACTTCAAGGAAATATTTGTGACTTCTCTCAAAACAAAAATACAAGTCTAAATTGGAACTGACTACTTCATGAGTTTGCTTGACAACATAAAAAGTACAATACTGTAAAACAAACCTAGGAAAGCCAGTATTGTAAAAATGCTTTCAAAGCACAAACTAGATCACCAAACAGCTTAAAGGTATTACAACACCACAATATCTATTGACTACATTCTTAGCATATCACATCATAAATTAACAAACCGATTTTTAAAACGCCAAATTGATGGCACTTTGTAGTCACAATTCAAAATGTAAATTGTCATACCGTGCATGCCAGTATAGTTTGAAGAGAGATTGGTAAAGGATATAAGAAGAACAAGCGTAGCATTTTTAGATGTGCCTACCAGTCTACTACAATAGCATAAGGAGCGCAAAAAACTTTCTAGATTCCCATATTACAACTCAAAATCTGTGACAATGTATGTTTGGCTAAATAAAATATTACTCTTTAAAATCCGAATTGTAAAGGACAAAAATGGACCATGTAGCCAAATTGATATCGGTGCGTGGTTAAAATCTTTTTTGCGCGCATTAAATTCATCTATCAGATGCTTACAATACACTAGCATGGAAGATGGGAAAGCAAAAGACACATTATTGAGCAATAAATCTAAACAAAGCGTGTAAAAAGCTTACGCCTTTTCTGTCAGAAGGTTTAGGAGCAAGCTCCTTCGGTGTCACCACATGGCCTTTGTTAAGCCCAACAATTAGGCCACTACTCGGCTGCTTCGGAGGCATTTCCTGCACCAGATATTGATTAAATTTACATCGCACAAAAAATCATTGCAATGAAATACAGTGGAGCGATCTCATGTAATCCGTGAAGTGGAACTCAGGTTTAGAAGATTTAACAAATCTCTGTATATAAAAAAGTTGGACCGCCTGGGATAACTGTTCCCGCCTGATAACTAAACGACTAACCTGGAGATATTAGAGGAACGGCGGAGACGGCGTTGAAGAGAGGTGCTGGAAACGGCGGAGAGAGTCTGGGTTAGATAGAGACCGCATAAATAGCGGAAGAAGGGTTAGGGTTATTTCAGAATTGGGCATGTGATTTTCTAATCGGGCCAGATCAAACACTTTAGGGCCTTAGGCCAATAATTAGTGGGAAAGGAAATTTGCTAGACGAATGGATGTAAACTTATGTTTTTATTTAGACCGAAATTTGTTGATTTGATATGTTTAAGTCTAATCTGATCTGGTTTTAACTAGTCTGGTAAATGTATGATGTGTTTTTAACATGTATGATCTAAATTGTTCTGATCTGGTCTAGTCTTGAACTGAAAACAATCTGAGTAAAAACATCATTAGTGTATAAGACAATTTTAAATATTTCATCATTTTTTATTAATACACTACTACATAGTACATACTTCGTATTTATTATTTAATAATTTGATATGTAATTTTTACATTGAGATGAGATGAGTACAAATTTTGGAAGCTCAAAAAAAATTGCCTCAAAGGATGCCTTGAAAGTTGAAAATAAATTCATTTTTAGAAGCAAGTATACTTCTTCAATAAACTTTTAGAGGCAGATGCAATCATCTTGCCCCGAATGATACTTTTTAGGGACACGTAAGATGTGGTTGCCTCAATATGACGCTAAAGATGACATTAGAGGCAGTAATATGGCAATTGCCTCTATAAGTGAATTTTTATGTAGTGTAATTCAAATCCAAAAATGCGCCAAACAGCCTTACAAGCAGAAATTTATCTACAATCATAGTACATCTGTATCTCATTGATCGGCTTTGGTTGTGTATCACCATCAACTGTCTAGGAAAACTCCGTTGTCACCCGATCACGCCCTTTGTTTATGTACTTAAACAAATATTTGATGGACTTTGACTGATTACACCACTCTACGTTCATGTGATCTCCATATTTCATCAACAAATCAACCCTATTCTTTGATATTACGCGATCATTATTTCTGCGCTTATACACTGGATAACCGTCGTCGTCGCCGGTCGTCTCTGCGCACCATTTTTTAGGAAAGTGTTTGCTACATTTACCGTCAACCATGCAAGGCGCTGACTTCGCAACACCACCGCAAGGGCCCTGCATCATAAAATCCCTCACCGCAACATAATGCATCGGGTCTAAATTTATATCTGGAATTTCGACAGATATTACCCTATCTATATCAGTAGGTGAGGGCAATTTATCCTCGTTCGATAACCACAACAAAATATGGGCACGAGGCAAGCCGCGCTTTTGAAACTCAATTGTGTAGACAACTACAAAACACACAAATGAAGTCAAATAAACCCACACAGGGTTAATGTTATAGGGAATACGCAATAGACAATACCTCCTCTAACATTCCCAAAGGCTTTATTTTTGTGAAGATCTTTAATCAAACCGTCAAGTTTGATTTTGAAAACCCGACTAATTACATCGGGTCGGTCTTCCGCTTTCAAATTCCTTTGATAGAGAGAACGATCTATCTCTGGCCACCTTGGATTGCACATAAAGGTAATGAATAAATCTGGATAACCTGCCCACCTACAGATGGTCATTGCATCCTGGTAATTTTGTATCATATAACGTGCTCCTTCAGTAAAGGTAGGAGGCAATCCAATTATCTTACTCTGAGTACGGGAATCATTCTCTCCACGTAAAAATGCATCACTCAAACCTTTATACATTTCACAATGAAGCTACTTTTAATGTGTCCTAACAAATCTCAACCTCGTAGATTCAACCAAGGTATAACCGTCAACAATGAATTGCTGAAAAAGCCCTTTTGTCTTCAACATAGAGGAATGATTATCACATCATTCATGTACACGAAACGCAAGAAACTCCCTCACACTCACTCTTTGTCTACCGCCTCCAACAATGTTACCACCCTTGGACAACAATGTATCCTCACGATATCCGTCCTCTCCATAAGGGAACAATAATGGATATTGCAGGCCAAAATAGGTCGAATTCAATTCATTTATCCTTTGGAGTGCATCATACTAAGTTTCAACCAATGTATCCCTCTCACCCAACGATTCATCAAAATCTCCAACTACCAAAGCTGCAACCTCAGAAACAGACGGTAAATTATATGTTCTCGCATCACCGCAGCGCTTTCCAATTAACTTTAGCTTCACATCTGGGGCATTACTCGTATCTATTTTCTCTTTAGCAAGACGGAAAGATTTCACCAACATGTTATTTTCGTTGAGCATCTTAGACAACCCAACAACTATAGCTTCATGCAACTTGCTTCTCCTACTATCATCGCTACAATAAATGAAGAAGAATTAGATTTATAAAACCATTATATAAAGTACGCTGAAATAAATGTAGACCCTACTTACCCAACAGATGAAACTCTATATTGAACCTCATTTTCCGTATCATAGATATACAATTGTGCGAACTTAGGCTTTGATCCAGTTGGAGGCAACATACCACCGATCAGGTGATAATTCTGGCCGTGTAGTTTAAAAATTGGCGGAGACTTTGCCTTGTTGACATTTTGTGCAACTTTATCGCCCATTGAGGTGAACGAAAATTGGGGGAGACTTTCCCTTGTATGACGTGATGTTTTCAATGAAATGTTTGCTACACTCATCAGAACCATGAATCAATTCAGATAGGAATAAAGGCGGTTCTTTCATAAAAGGCAAGACCACCTTTCCTTGACAGCAACACAACCAATACTTAGGATTCTTCTTAGAAGACGTGGAAACAACACGTTCCTCAAACCAAAAAGGGCATTACAAAACCCGCACACATATTTTGCTTCACCAATGTCCCAAAACTCTACAATTCAAAAACATCAAACAATATTATCCAAGCATAATAACCAATAAGTACTTATTTATGATGTGGGATATGGAATCGATTATCGATTAGCATGCACCAACTGCTCTGTTGTGGGTGTGCGCAGGAAATGTCTCATAATCCACGTACTCATCATCCACATCACTATCATCAATGGACGTTTTATCCCATGCGTCAACAGACATTGAAGCCAAAGGGACTGTACTCATGGACTCAACCGGAGCTCGGTTTTCGCAACCTTTTGTGACAATATATAACACGATTTAATGTAAATTATGTACGATACTTAACAAACACACAATGTTGGATAAATATATAATGTAGAATTTTGTATTAACAATGTTACCACTACCCATGTCTGAAAAAGGTGTGCTTTGATGTTGTCCTAATCTGCCGTCACAATAAACAATAGTTGTAGGGCACGGAACTCTTTCATCTTCATAAACATCTACAGTATCGTCAAAACCACAATAACGGTCTGAAAAAATTTAGATTGTTATTCAAAATGAATTCAACATTAAACCACGAAAGTGTCATAACACCAAAAGTGTCATCTATATCTATAATAGCTAGTGACTATAATAAAATCTATTGTTCAATAACAATATATGTTTTCAAATTAGTAATCACATGATACTATATATTATGTGTTTAGTCGAGTGTGTATATTCTAAACCTTCAACTCTAGTAAGCACATATACATCATGAAAACATTTTCTAATATCATAGTGTATTTACACAGGGAACAATGCCCAAATACACCCTAATCCATTAAAAATTCGTTATGTATCACGGTCATTTTGAACCGTCATTTACTAGAATAGCTTAATAATTTAATTAAAAAATTAGATAATTGGGTATATGCAAAACATCGTAAATTTATATGCAAAATGAATGCAAATAAAATCTACAACATCTAATAACAAATGTATTCGCAAAATAAAAATAATCCTCAAAAGTCCAAAATCCATATCTTGAACATTTGGAAATTGTTCAAATACTTTATTTAGTACTAAGATTTACCAATGGCCTAAAAATATGGAGTAGTATAGTTGTGTATTTAATGAACGACCACTTATTTTTTGATTTGTTTTGCACATCAATAACTCAAACAATTTTTTAGAACAAAAATAAACAAATCTATAGGCTGGGTGACCCAAAATAAATGACATTTCACAGGCAAATCCACTGCAGCCTAACAAAACGTGTATGGGATGATTGATACTACCCAATAACACGTGTCAACCCAAAAACAGAAACACGACTAAATATGTTTACTCAATAAAAAATGTGATTCTCGTATTTATAACCTAAATTGAAGTAACTTAGGGTTGGGAAAAACCGAATCGATTTATAGAAACCGGCATGATCCGGCCCGCATTATGATAATGGTCCTGATATTTTATTTTTACCAGCCTCAATAAAAACAACTCGGATCGAACCAAAAACTTTCGGGGTCATTAACGGGTCCTAAATTTTGTAACCCAACCCTGAACGATAAAACCCCAAAAAAATAGCTTTAATATAGAAGAAATATTATATACCAATATAATTTATAAAATAATTCCTAATGTATGATTATAATCATGGTGGACGAAAAAATGACTTAATAACTTCAAGTGACTACAAATATTATTTACCTTAATGACCATGAAAACATATTTAGTCACATTTTTATCGATAAATTTTATTTCGTAACATTTTTAGAACACCTATATTATTTATGTTTATACATCTTAAACAAAATATTATTATAGTTGTCTTCTTTAGATTCAAATTCTCAGGGATTTTGTAGAATACTATTTGTGTTATTATTTGCGGTTTGTACTTTTTATTAATTTTATTTGAAAATAGATTTTAAAATATAAAAGAAAAATGATATGATTTCACATTCGCGATATAACCGGCCCAACACGAACTCGGGCCGAACTCATACTACAAAAAAAAACCACATGGACAAAATACAGTGGGCTTTGTTTCGAACGCTAATTTACATAACCCGCTACCTTACGGGTAATTTTCGGGTTTAACAGAAACTCAACTCGGACCGGAACGATCCAACCCTAAAGTAACCAATTCCAACTTTCAAAAACTCGGAAATATTAAAAATTAATATAATATGTTCAATATGTAATTTTAAATATAGCCCAAATGCATTGCAGTAAAAAAAAACCTA